CTTCGGACAGCGCTGGCTCTTCGGCTTTGAAACGGAGATGAGCACCGCCCCCTAGAGTCAGGAACGACTAGCATGTATGTGCCAGGGGAACCCTTACCTTTACCTTTAAGATAACAGGGGAATTTGGAGGGACGACTGTTGTGAAGAACTGTACAGATAGTCCTCGAATTACGACCATTCGTTCAGTGACTGTTTGAAATTACAATGGCATTGAAAAAACTGATTTACAACTGTCTTTCACACTTACATCCCCGTGGTCACGTGATTTATATTTGGTTGGCAACTGGTTCATATTTGTGACGGTTGCAACGTCCCGGGGCTGTGTGTGTCATACGATCCCTTTTTCCGGCAATGGAGAAGCCAGATTCACTTAACGACCTACTAATTTAACAACTGCAGCGATTCACTTAACAAGCATGCCAAAAACAGTTGTAAAAACAGGGGCAAACTGTCATTTTTCACAACGGTCTTAACAACAAAACTCAACAACGGAAACCTTCAAGTTCAGTTGTGGTAAATCGAGGACTATCTGTAATCCACGGTGGGTGTCGTTAATACAATACGGCGACGCTAAATCGAGGTACGCCAGCTAACACGTCTCCTCTTTTGCAGTGTTTTTCCTGCTTGTTAATACCCCCCGACGGGCCCTTCTGCACCTCTTGTAAATAGACCAACATCGGAAGCACCACCGCATGTCCCGTGTCCTCCTCGTCATCCGCTCCGACCCATCGGCACAAAACTCGTCGCGGACAAACTGGGTCTCCGGCTCGTTTTTTGTTTTTTTTCCGTTTCTCTCGCCATTTCATCCTGGCTGGGCCACCCTCCCCTCCTTTGTCCCTTCCCGAGATCATCGACAGATCCTGGTTTATTACCTGCTCCCGGAGGCTAATCCGGGATGTCCGGGTAAACTCCGCCCTTGGGGAAATCTCGCCAAACTTTCCTCGTTTCGCCCACTCCGCGCTCGTGTGTACGTTACCACCGTTTTTTTTTACCGCCTAGGTTTTGTTCTCCCACGCATGAAAGGGGGCGGCCTTCCCCAAACCGGGCGCCACCCAAACGCGCCCGGCGCCAAGTTTCCAAAATTGCTAGCTAGCCACTGATTCGGCTGCAACCCCAGCATGTTTGAACAGTGCCAGGCTGAATTGTTTTCTCTGTGTCTACAGTGTTTGTGCACCTCGGTGACTTTAAGATGGGGGGACTATAACTCCCAGAATTTTGGGAGTTATAGTTCCCATGAGTCTTTAAAGCTGCCAAACAAACGGTTTTGGGAAGCCCGGCACAGCACAACCAGGAAAGGAATCTGCCCCTGTTGAATCTCCACCTGCTTAAAACATTCGCTGATCCGTCGTCAAACCGATCCCCCCCCCCCCTTCTAGATCCACATCCGGGAATGCCACCAATTTTTTTTTTGCGGCCACAAAAGGTTTCCAGATGTTGCCTCTGAACCCACTGGCTTTCCCTGAGAGATCACAACCCAAACGCCTTATTCCCTTTCCAAATCCGTCAACGCTTTTTTTTGGAAGGCTCAAGGAAGGAGGAGGGAATCCGGAGGACGGGGGAGGAGGATTGCGGAGAGGCACTATTCAGGGGTGGTTGCAGACCCCTCCCCAAAGCCTTGTGTTCCCCCCCACCCCCCACCCCTGTTCTTCACTTCTGGTGGCCAAACCGTTTTTTGGGGAGTGGTGCCTTGAATTCAAATAAAGTGGAAAGAATCTGCAAATAAGGCTGTGATTGTTTTTATTAATATTATGAGTTGATAATCCGGCATCGCCTGGGTATTTATAGACATCGAAGCGTTCGTCTGACAGCCGTTAAGAGGGGCCTTTCTTCCCCCTATTCCCATGCCCATCATCCCCGCCCTCTCCATTCCCCCTCCCATGTGCTCCTCTTTTCCTCCCTGTCTACAATCCTGGCCCTTTGCCCCAAGTCCATCAGGCGCTTCCCCATGGGTCCACTAGAGGGCGAATGTCACGGCTGGCATACCAGAGGAAGCTGCGACATTGCAAACAATTGCCTCTCTAGGATGCTGCACTCGCTCTCCTTAACGGCCCAGTTGTGACAAGGACACTTCTAATGCTTGCACACCCAAGTGTCTGGTTCTTTGCAACACCCAAACGTTTCCCAGCCAACCTGTCAATCCTCAAAAGTTAAATAAATAAAATTTGGACACATCTGGGGGCTCCAACAATCGGCGTCGAGGCTTCTGCCGGGGTGCCAGATGTTCACCTTGTCTTTGCACACACCCAACCCAGCTGCAAGATGCATCCGCTTCGTCGTCACGTCCCGCAGGTCGCTATTCTCCCGGGTCGGTGCCGCACCGCCTGTGGAACTCCTGCCCGTGTTCGTGGAACCACTTGTTGGCCACTGCGGAGAGAGGGGAAACGCCGGGAGGATGAAGAGGCCACGAGCGCCTTGCGCCTCCTCGTCATTTACACCCAGTGTAATTTACATCGCTGTAACGGGTAGTCCTCAAGCTTACGAACCGCAATGGAGTGCCAACGTACGTTGCTAGGCGAGACAGTTGTTCAGTGGGCTTCGCCCCGCTTTACGACCTCTTTTGCCACCGTTGCTAAGGGGAATCACTTAAATTGTTCGGTGAATCTGACCCCTGTCGGCTTTCCTTGTCCGAAGGTCGCCAAAGGAGGTCAAGCGACCACGTGACCAATGGGGGGGGATCCTGCAGCGGCCCTCTAAGTGTGGAAAACGGCCCGTACGCCCATTTTTCCCCATTGCCGTTGTAGTTTCAAACGGTCGCTAAATTATAAGTTGTAAGTTAAGGGCTACCGGTAGAGCAGCTTAAAATAAATACAAATGAAATCGTGGGGCAGGTGATTGGGGAGCAGCCTCCCCAGGGAAGCATCGCCAGGCGTCAGGCCTTAGGACAGGGAGGGCTGAAACGAGTGCCCAAATGCACATGCGCACGGCCAAACCCCCCCAAGTGCAATGCGTGCATGGCCCCCGCGCATATAGCAATAGCAGTTAGACTTATATCCCGCTTCATAGGGCTTTCAGCCCTCTCTAAGCGGTTTACAGAGTCAGCATATTGCCCCCAACAACAATC